ATATATATATATACATATATATATATATATGGTGTCAATATGGGCCATCGAGCCTGAAATAAACACTAAACTAAACTTATAGATGGCCAATGTTTAGCAGACAACGTCAAACATTTAAGATATCAAGCACATCAATAGAACCCATATCTAAGTCTAAATTAAATCTGTGAAAACGATTGTCATCTGTTTTCTTTATAGTGTACAGTCTAAAAAAAGGGCAACATAACAACAGAATAGTCCTACTATAAACGAATGTTGAAAGAATGAATGAGGGACGGATTCCAAAGATAGCTCTCATATGACAAATATAAACCAATGTGCAATGGCCCTTTAGGCAGACTCAGGAAAAGGTAGAAAGATCACGTGCAAGAAATATCGACCAAGTACATACAAGAGTATACAACGACGGAGAATCTGGAACCAAGGTCAGGGGACGTCCCAGGAAGACATGGATAGAGAGTGTGAAGGACACCCTGACTAGGTATGGCATGCCTGTAACAACAGCCTCCAGACTAGCCGTCGGCCGCCGACTGTCCGTCCCCACGACGCCCCAGACGGTAGAAGTGGAACTCAGTGGAAGGATAAAGTAAGCACAGACTTTGAAGACTAGACAGACTTAAGGAGGAGGGAGACCAAGAGGAATGGAGAAGGAGAGGCCCTAAGGCCTACCTGACAAGCCCTAAGGCCTACCTGGAGAAGATGTAAGTAAGATAAGGAATCTCACCGGTAAAGAATGACCCCATGAGCTGCCCGCAGTGCTGCTGCGCGGCTGTCTTCAGCTGCTGGTAGATGTCACACGGGTGCATGGTCTCCTGTCCGGTAGGCACCAGCGGCCGGTCCGCGCACAGGTCGTCCGTCTTCCACTTGTTGGCGAAGGCGATCGGGTTGGTCTCGATGTCCCCGACTTTGGTGTAGAAATCATCCTAGAATTGCATTTACATTACAATGAGATTGTTAAGTACTATTCCTTTCTAGGTTTGATAATGCACCAAAACCATTTACACCATGAGAAAACATGAATTGCATGGTGTTGTCAAGATAGCCATTGCATCATGTAGCTGACTTGGTTTTTGATCACGGTAAGATGAGCTAGCTTATAGTTTATTCTGAAGAATACGTGATACGTTCTTTTGACAGCAATAGAACATGGTAGCTTTCAATGTTCACACTGCCATATTACGTGCAATATAATGAAATACGGTACAATGCAATGCAATGCAGTGCTATGATGATTATATATATGACAATCCCAGTGCGTTGCAAGGGGTAACACACTGCATGGAATGGTTAGGATTTTTGTCGGCTATTTTATAGATTCTTTGACATTTATTCCTTCCGGAATGTTAGTGTTGGTCCTACCTGCTGGTTGTAGTTAAAGGTGCCGCACAGACCCATGGTCCTGCCGACAAACTTGGGCGGGGCGGTGATGTAGAGACGGGAAACTCCGTCCCACAGTACCCGCAGCCCGTTGTCAAGGGTAACCTAGCAACAACATTACATCATCGGGAAAGCATGTAAGTTGTGAACGAAAATAAAACATGATTTGAAGTCCTTAATTAATCTATTTCTATATGACAATCGAACAGTGAAGCAATGTTGTGAAGTTATAAGTTATTTTAACAACAATGGAACATGGTAGCCTTCAATGTTCATACTGCAATACATAAGTGCAATACAAATGCGAGGCAATGTAATATAATGCAATGCAATACAATGCAATGCAATACAAGGCAATATAGTAAAATGCGACGCAATACAATGCAATGCGATACAATTCAATGCACACAATACAAAGAAATGCAATGCAATACAATGCATTGCAATGCAATAGAATTCAATGCAATACAATACGTACAATACAAAGCAATGCAATGTAATACAATGCAATATAATACAATACAATACAATCCAACGCAATACAATACAATACAATACAATACAACATTTGCAATACAGAATTGCTGCTGCCGAGACATCGCGTTACCTTCTGGAAGATGGAAGTGGCGGTCTCGATGTACACCCCGGGCCCGCGGTGCGGCAGCCTGACGATGTCCTCCCCGTTCAGCAGCACGCTCTTCCCCTGCTTCAGCTTCAGCACCGTGCTGCCTGTCTTCACCGTCACCGAGCGCGTGCACGTCAGCTGCCGGGTGGAGCCAGAGTCGCACTCCTGCAACCCAACATACACATCGACACGGTTACATCTTTGCCTTCGCCAGAAGGGTATGTTTTCGGTTTGGGCTTGGATGTGGCGTGGGTCTGAATGCATGTCAACAATATAACTCGAGAAAGTGTGGATGGATCTTATTGATAATTGGTATGTGAGTGGCGGTTGTGGAAAGAAAGGTTAAGTTCAAAAATGGTTCACCTGGCTTTTTGAACGGTACTGCAGCGCAGCGGGTTTTTATGTATTTGTTGGATTGTCTGTGGCCAGCATAGCTCGGGAAGCCGTGATTGGATCTAAATTATCTTAATGATATCTGGTAGATGGGTAGCAGTTATAGAAACAGAAAATGGTTATCCTGTCATGTTCCTACTTTGCTGCAAAGTTTTTTTTGTGTGTGTGTGGACAACATTACTCGAGAAGTTGTGTTTGGTTGTTGATGATATTTATTCGATGATTAGGGCAGTAAATATGAACTTTTAACGTTAAGCGAATATTCAACCTTCACGGAGGCAGAGCGGAATTAGAACGGAGCAGGTATAACATTCTCGGATGGAGTAAGGGCTAGTAGTCAACGAGATCACTAACCTGGTTCTCAGCCTCGATACTGTAGTCGGTCTCGTCAGTCATCTTGTTCATGACCATGGTGTAGGAACAATCTCCCATGAAGTCATACGACCTGCCGTCAAACGTGATGTAATGGGGGTCCCCGGTAGCGATGCACGTGGCTGTGAGGACAGAAATTACGGTACTGAATAACCAACCATACATGTCGAAGTTAAGTATGGACTTTGAGTTTTTGTCTGATAGTGTCTTATTGCAAGATGGTAATTCATGCAAATTTTCATGACTTCCCGATGACGTGATCAATAACTACGGGGCCACGCCCATTTTCAGAAAAATCGAATTTCCAGGCTAGTGTTTCACTAAAAATGCATGATATTTCTCAGAAATGTACATAATAATAAAAGTGGAAACTTTACCTTTGGCTTTTCTCAATGTCTTAAAGACCGATTTTTAATTATTTTTTTTTCGAAAATGTTGACAAACGTAAATATTTATCTTAGAGGTTTGTCTCCAGAAAAACAACCCTTTTCTTCCACATTCCATGAGTATTTTTACCATGAATGCGTTTTGAACATCATCTATCCATTGTAGGGGTAAGGTATTTGCCCTAGGGGTCGAAAAGCCACAGCACAACGTCAATGTCAGCAAGATAAACTTCTTTGTAAATCTCATACAATCTAGATGTAAAGATATGGATGTAGAGAAAATTTACCTTCGCAAGGCTCCGTGGTACACTCCCACTTGCCATTTACGCACTCACTGTCAATGAAAGTCGGTGTTTTTATTAGTATCATACAAACTGTAAATTGACGATGGTTAACAATGTAAATGATAATGTGAACAATGTAAATGACATATACTAAACAGTATGGTGATTAGATTTTACAACGTAATGATTCCCATAATAGCAAACCTAGTATAGTAGTACTATAAGTTAATCAGACAGTAGTTGTATGTCTCCTATGGCTTTACCTTACTTTATTTGACACTGTACAAGCTATTAGCCTTCGGGTACGATTTTGCGAATAAAGATAATGCAACACGGGATGTCCAAGCCAAGACAATGAGATGCAAGTTTTGAACAGAATGTTTGCTTAGATTAATTGAAGTACAGTAGTACAGCCTGTAGAACAGCTTGAGGGAGATATCGGTATCACCTGGGGTGGCAAATTCTAATTGTGGTTTTGAAAAGTTAGTCGCAGTGTGGTAGCGTTGACCTTGCTATCTGACCTTGAACTTTGACCCCATATGGACCACGTCCTTTTCTACTTATAATGTAAAGGGAGTGGCAAATAATCAAATATGGCTATTTTTCAATGCAAATATAGAAACTTTATGTGCAAAATCATGCCCGAAGGCTAATTGCTTGTACAATCAAGTATAATACTCATTGCATTACAGTAACAGGAGACAGGTAACAATCTGTCTGGAAAAACTTCTACTTCTACTACTACGCTAGCTATTATGGGGTTCGACTTCTTCTTTGAAGGCAGTGGATAATGAATAGTCTCACATTCTGCATAATTAGTGGGTTTTGTGATCTTAGTAGAAACGTAGTCTTTGCAAATGCAAATATATACTGACCAGTCGTTACAGTCGGAGTTGATGTGTGAGCCCGGTGGGTGCTCCACCCCGTGGCTGAGGCAGGGGCAGCTGGCGTGCGGCAGACACTCCCCGCCGTTCAGGTACGTCCCCTCGGGACAGTGGCAGCCGTCGATGCACTGGTTATCCTCGCAGTCGTACAGCGTCGTGCGGCAGGTCTCCGGGCAGGAGGTGCCGCAGGTACGGTACTCCATACCCTCCGCACAGTTAGCCGCTGGAAGTAGGGTACAGAACATGTTGCAGTAAGTCAATCACAGTTTGTAATAGAAGATGACTTTGGATTTATGTAGTTGAATTTATGTAACGACAAATAGTTTCATTTTGTATCAGTTAACTGTATCTGTTCATCATGTTTTGTTGTGACCTTTACTTAGCGAAGTATGTCAAAAACAATGTGCAATAAAGGTTGTTGATATATTCATGCATGGTTAAGGTGGTAAATATACAGACGTTGATAGTCGCTATGCATATATATATATATGGAGAAAATATTGTATTTAGTAAAGTTTAGTGTATTAGCAATTTGTTTTAATATCCATCAGAATGCTACAATAGGGATCATACTCAACGCATCGTACTTATACAGGATTACAAGGGCGTCTTGTATTATAATCCCACAACAAAGACGTGAGTGTGAAAAACGTTTTTTCTGTGCACCGATTTTCCTCTCAGAGTAACCCCATTAAATTGGACGAACTCTACATGACAACAGTGACGCGCCGACACTAGCAAGATCGATCGAATCTGCTCACGGAATCACTACTTACGGCAGAAAGTGTCACTCCTCCAGTTGACATGCACCCCGTGTCGCAGACACTCCCTGAAGTACGCCTCGAAGCTGTTGCAGGCGGCAGACTCCAGACCACCGCTCAGACAAACGTCCTCCTTGCAAGACTCGTAGTAGGCAAACTGGTCAACGAACTATCGGAAAGGACATTTCTACATTTTAAAGGCATCCAAGTCAATTTCAGGGTGGCAAAACTGCAATATTATTATATTAATTATAGTTAAGGCAATCTGTGTTGTATTGACAAATACTGACCCACATGAGCACACTTGCATCAGTACTATATATACTTTTGGTTTTTAAAACAGCACAGAAAATTGAGTCCTTAATTTTCTGGGTGGTACCCCAAAAACCAGCCCAGGATCCCACCAGTAAACGGCATTTTTGCCAGTAAACGGCATTTTTGCTCTATGAATGTCTATATACATGGGATAGTTGCATCAACTTTGTATGTAGATAAGTGACTAGAATATTGAGTTTGAAAATTCTGGTTTGCAAGCCCTAAAATTTGCATTGGGGACCCTTAGAACATGTAGTCATAACCTAATCATCATTCACTATGTTCTACTGCTGCAGCAGTCTGGGTGACTCTTATGACCTAATGAAGTATCAACTAGAAAGGCCGACATCTGCTTTGGAGCAAATTCAACATGACTTCACCACGTTTCACGACATGGCAGGGAAAGAAGGAGAAATACAAGGGAAAACAATGCTTTATTTTGATATAAATATAGTATGAAGTGACATATAACTAAGAATGCAACAGTTGGATAGCTATTCCCTTCATTATTGGTTAGGATTTATTTGCATAATGCTGTTGATTTTCAAGATTAAAAAAAATGTTTATGTCCCGCATTCCAATGCTTGAGAAGGAAAGTTTTACATATCTACGCCTAAACACTTGAATGCAGTTCAATACTGTCAACATGGTATGACTATGTGTAGATGTTAATACAGTTAACCCAATTAGATTTCAACAGCCAATCAGCAAGAAGAATAGAGGAAAGCAGCTTATCTGGTTTAAAAAATTTAAAATTTGGTTTCAAAAATAACAAGGCATATAGAAATGTAGGTTATATGACATGTTTCTACCGATTTACAACCAAAAAGACTTCTTTTCCTGGCTAATACTTGTGAAAAAAACAAAGTAACTATTCCTATTATAAGTATGTGGAAGCCTACACAGGTGTTCATTTAGCAGTAAAGTAATTAAGGGAACAGCCAATCAGCGACCAGATCTCCAAACAGGGTGCACCTGCTGCCCATATTTGCACATCTATCTGCACACAAGAAGAAAAGAATGACAAACCTCGTGGCATGGTTGGAACTCAGGAAGAGTTTTGAGTCCCGTACATATCTGAGCTGCCTGAGTGTGTGCGATCTGACCAGCCATGGTCTGGGTATTACAGTGACTGTTCTGTCGGCTGTCTGAGCAGATGTCTGTGAAATGGAAAAAATGCAGTTATAATAATAATTATAATAGTTTATTGACAACACTCCAGGTACATGGCAACGTATAAAAGCGCTGAATTACGTACTCAGGGTTTAAAAACAGATTGAACAATAAGGTCAGCTAAACAAACAAAGGACATTGACAAACTAGGTACAAACATAAACAAATACTGGCTGTACACAGTTATAGATATAAATCAGAAGTATCTACAAATAGATTAAAAACTATAATTGTCCAGTACTGGGAGATTTCAACCTGTTTGTTTATTTAACAAATTATCTAAGACGTAGGCAAGAAATAAGTGCCAAATTAGAGTAGATGCATGGCTTAGAACTACATAGCTTTTGTTCAGAAGTCCAAACTCCCGTCTTTACTTGTCTTCAGACATAGTCGAAAACATCACCATAGTGCAACTCGCTTCTTAGATCACCAAACCTTCCACTAAGTTCTATGACGTTCTATGAAGTTTCATGAGCTATGTTGGAGATTATTTTGACACTATGTCTATGCTAAACGACATAAGAAATGCTCTACTGTTAGTATTTGAATTATGACAAATTATTATGATCAGTGATTACTATGATTATTGTTATTATGATGATCAGTTATTATTATGATCAGTTGCATCATATTACTATGATTATTGTTGTTATTATTATGATCAGTTATTTTTTGATCACTTATTATTATATGATCAGTTATTGTTATGATCAGTTATTATTATGATCACTTATTATCATGACCATTTATTATTATGATCACTTATTATGATCAGTTATTATTATGATCAGATATGAGTTGAATTATTACTGTTATTATTTCATGATTATGATTATTATGTAAGGGATGGTTCACTACATTTTTGATATATGAATAATGAAAAAACGAAAAAGAAATGCTCTACCTCCTTCGCTTTCTGGCATCTTCCAGCTGGCAGCAAAGGGGAGTACGTGATCCCGGACCTTCCCAGAGATGTCTGTGAAGTCGTTATGAACGTCTCTGTCGTACTTTCCGCACAGACCACAGGTCTTCCCGAACAGATCCTCAGTCACCTGGAATCGGCGGTAATGAATGAATGAATGAATGGAGACCTTTATTGTACGCAAATACCCACTGGGTTCAGTACAGGTCACAGAAAAGACATCACAGTTTGCAATGAATATATACAATGTACAAGCTGGTGCTAATTCTATGTATTATGGACATATAGTCTAATAATTACGATAATCTGGCTTCTTCTCGCTTCTTAGTAATGATGTAGATATAGGTACAGATGTGTTTTATAATCGAAGGTTTGTCTAAAGCCATTAGAAATATGAACTTATCTGTGTTGCTAAGATGTATGAAATGGGGAAACATACATTGCTATAATTTATAAAGCTCAGCTTTCTCTTCATTGTATAAACTACATTCTAATACAAAGTGTTCCTCATCCTCTATCCTATTTAGATTACAATGCCTACATATTCGTTGTTCCAGGGGAGTGCGGTTATGTAATGGAATGGACTTCAGTTCACGAAGAAGTAACACATCGTGCCATAATGTGACAATTAACGGTGAGGAAATGCTTCGAATCACAAGCCATTGCAGAGCTAGTTCAAATCTAGATTGACACATAGCGGTAGTACAGTGGTAATGGTTCGTGTGTCGGCTGACGCGGGATCCCCTATGTCTAAGTATAAGTAAGGTCATGTTGATTTGATTATATGAATGACATCCTCTGGGAACCCCAGAGCATGCGAATAAGACAAGCTGCCTTCTAAAATCTACACAGTGTATGGTATGGCGAATAATGGGCTCTTCATTTTTATTTCTTCACATTTTCTTCTTTTCCTTTGAAATTGATTTTGACGTTCTACGACATAAGTATCATTTTCCAAAATTTTGTGCAACTTTGATACGGCATACATTTGCTAATTTTGCAACTGCCTTGTACGATTTACAGTATGGTCGAAAACTATTTTGAAAATTCATGTGCGCGCGGATGTCATCCATATAATCAAATAAACATGGCCTAAAGGTAGTACAATAATGACATTTATCATTAGTACTTTAGGAAATATTCTCACCAATTTGATGAAATTTCTGGTCAGTAAATTTTAATTAATCAGCTGTCATAAACTCAGCATCGAAACAGGAAGGCACAACCGCACACCTCTGGAGCAAAGGATTTGCCAATTTTGTAGCTCAAACAAAGTAGAAGACGACTTTGTTATTCATTGTAGTTTATATAATAATGAAAGAAATTATATTTTTAGATATATTACAAGTACGTTTCCATACTTCCAATACTTGTCTTATATTTAAATTTATCTTAAATTTATCTTTCTTATGCGCTTTGATCATCCTGTACTAAACAAACCCATCTCAAATTATATTTTTAACATCACTAAGAAACGAGAAGAAGCCGAACCTCTGTATTAGAGTAGTTTTAGAGCTGTTTGTACTACAAACATGTATGTTACCTATTTCATCTGTTGACCTGTACAATAAAGGTTATTATTATTTAATTCAAAGTTGATTATGAACCATACTCCACGTACCTCGACGTAAACTGCGTCGGCGCCGTCCCACTTGATCTTGAAGCCGAGCCCGCTGCGCACCACGACGTACGAGGCGATCCTCTCCACCAGGAGCCCGTGCAGGTTAGCCGGGATGGACACCTGCATGTCCCCGTCAAACGCCGTCGGGCCGTCCGGGGTGTGCCGCAGCGTCACCACGAAGTTCCCGATGTACAGGATGACTTCCACGTGGCACGGCTGGGTGTTGTTACAGCCCCGCTGGTGACGGACGTGGATGCTGCGGAGAACGATGTGGGCATTGTTTAATTGATTTTACATTCTTTAGTGCTTTTTTCTTGTGGCGTAACGATATATGTGTCTAGGACTAAAGGCACACTCTCACATACAGTACTTCAGGGTAAGGTGGAAGGCGCACGGCCGCGGGGACGTCCCCGTCGGTCATGGATTACAGACTTAAAGGAGTGGACCGGTCTAACAGCCAACCAGATGGCCAGACTGGCGGAGGACCGCCAGCATTGGAAGAACTTGGCCAAACATCATACTGCCCCGACGGCTGACTAAGCTATGGGAGAGAGTGAGTGAGTGAGTGAGTGAGTGAGTGAGTGAGTGAGTGAGTGAGTGAGTGAGTGAGTGAGTGAGTGAGTGAGTGAGTGAGTGACGACAGAGGGTTCATCTCGAAACCAAGAGGTCCCGAGTTTAAATCCTGCCATGCCACAATCTTGGAAAAGGTAGTTAACACGAATTTTCTCACTTTACGCAGGTGAGTTTGTCTGTTGTCCTTGCGTTTGTGTGCGTTGGTGGCGGCATGAAAAAGTTGAAACAAGAGTTCCAAGATCTCATACCTTCACCAAAGGATGACATTATGCATTCCGACTGATGACATTATACATTTTTCCCATTGATTATGAAAATAAGATCCTCATTTCATTTCCATCATGGATTATATCAGTTGATCATATTCTCCACCCAATAACAGTCTTATCTGAACAGCTATTCTAGCACTTCCTCATAAATTATGCAAATGAGGTCATGACTTGAATAAGTTATGTTCATTGATCTTCACTGAACTTCCAAACGCGGCAAGTATGAACTGCTACATCTACCGGTTATTGAATTCTTGAATCCTCAAAGATTTTAATCAAACTGCCCTGCAGTTCCAGAACAAGCTGCTAGGGAGCCTAAACTAATGTCACGTGTTCTCAAGCACAAGAGATGTAAAACCATTGAAAATTCGTGACCCTAGTTTGTCCAGATCGTGAGATATCAAAACCGGAAGTTCTGCTGCAGTACCAAGGCAAGCCACCAGGGATAAAAGATCTAATCATTTTTACGTCTTTCCACCTACCAACTATCTTGACAATCCATCTAAAGCTTCTTGAGTTATCGTGCTAAACCACATACATGACACACACACACACTTTATGTGAGAGAATTTCTTTGTGTTGGATCAAAAGTTCTAACTTAAAACATACAACCAACTGACTACCAAGACATATCAACTTTCGTTATAGGATAAGACAATTTTAGTAAATAATATAAGAAGAATGTGCCGGAGAAACAAGAAACCCAGGACCACATCAACAGTAAGAAATAAGTATCAATTGACAGACTACACAGACACTATTGAGCACCAGATTATTTTGTGCATAAAAAGGATATCCTTATAGTTGAAAACCATTACTTAACTATCAATTACATATGGCGCCCATTTAGTCACGGTTTTTAAACCCGACATCATCCATGTTTTGACATTATTTCAAAGCTTTAACGTTTCTCTATATGGCCATGTTGATTTTATCATATATGTATATATATATATATGGATGACATCCGCGTAAGCATCAATTTTCCTTTCAAATAAAGACCATACTGATACTGTAAATTGTACAAAGCAGCTACAAAATGAGCAAATATGTGCAAACAATGTTGGAAAACGATACTAGGTACTAATGTTGTAGAATGAAATGAAGACGAAGAGTCTATTATTTGCCATACCATACTCTGTGTTTAGTCATGTGTTCTTACCTTCATGGCCACATAGATCCCATAATCAACTTTTTTTTTGTCAAACTTTTTTATTCCCACGACGCAGCAGTTTTTGGGATGCCATCCACATAATCAAATCAACGACTTAATCAACATTAGCAACATTGATTTGTTCTTGCACTGCATTTTGAACAAACATGACGTGACAAAGAAACACAACAATGAAAAAGCCGTTAGACTTACAGGCACGTAGACACCCCCCCCCCTTCTGAATGAGACCTCTGCTTTACAAAAACGGTACACAGTCCCATAAAACAAGTAAAATCTGAGATTTTATACCTCCGGAATTTTAATTGTATATTTTTATATGTTGTTTGTTATGTATAGTTGATGGTGTTGAATTTTGTGCCCAACAACAATTGTTGCGCACCACAGGACTAGGGTTTTAAACAAAGAATTTATAGACCGGACACCCCTCTGTGCGAGGGGTCATTTACGTGGACCAGACCGAGAATATCTTCAACACGCCAAAGGTCAACGGTCGCGACCATTTTCACGCTCAAAGGGGTGTTCTGGGGCCACCAAAAGGAACCATTTTCACGCCCGAAAAAAACAAAAGAACGTGCATCATCTACAGCCCAATAGCAAAACATACACCGAGTCCCAAAAAATACGTCCACTCAATCGCGAGAAACAGTTGCGAACATGAAAATCTAAATCTCTCACAAAACCCTTCCGCGGAAGGATGGCTCCTCCCCCGGAAGTAATAATTCGCCTTACTTGAAGGTGTTGTCGGCACAGTCGCCCACCAGTTTGTAGGTGCACTGCCCCTTGAAGTTGTACATCTGCCCGTCAAACGTCAGGTAGTGCTCCTGGCTCCAGGACACGCACTGCGCCTGCTGCTCCACGGTCGGCTCGGCTGAGCGGGAACAAACAAACACTTGAAACCCCTGTCACACATTCACAAAGTTGGCCTCCTGAAAACTAACCGAACGCCCCGCAACCTTGGTTAGGACTAGGTCTGAGCAAAGTCGGCTAGTGAGAGTTTTAAAATATTTAAAATATTCGGGGATTTGTTGGGAAGATCGGACATGGTGTTCAGCAAACCCGCAATGAAGTACATAATAGGGACTTAGAAGGGGGGTTCCAGCTTAGCCTACCATCTATAAAATCTGAAAGGTACAGGAACAGTGCTATTCCATACCTGTCTAAACACTTAAACAGCTCTTCGTCTATCGTGTAATTACCCGCTACCAATTGTATAAATTCTTGTTATTTAGTTTGATTATGTTTGTAAATATTAATGATATTTAGTGTGTTCCCTAGCTAAAACTACGTAATTCAGCCTTTTGTATAATACTTTGTATTATTAGGCTGCAATGTTGTTTTAGTTTTATGTCAATTTGCAAATAAACCATATACACAAACCAACAGTTTTCGTTGGTTAACAGTTTTCGGGGTGTGTGTTCGGGGTCAAATTGACTTAAATTCAACTCAAATCGTATATAAAGGTAGGCATGGCCTAGAATTAGCCAGGATACTCCCGAACGTCAGCCCGAACCTAGTGCAACTGGCTGGTGCAACTTGATAGATTTTGAAAAACTATCTGACGTTTCAAGTCACAAACGACAAGTAGTGGATGCTGCTTGAAATGTCTGACAGTTTTCAACATCTATCCAGTTGCTTGAGTAACTCTTTTCTTGTGCAATGTACACGTATGTCAGTCAAGTGGTGATTCATAAAACGGGGAATGTTGTCCGAAAAAAAAAGGTTCAATTCTCACCTGCGCCGACGATGGATGTTTGTGCGGGATATGCCGTGGGCTGGACAGGGATGATCATTGGGTCGTCTGTTGGGACAAGGGAACAGTGATATAGATCAGGTCTTCTTATGTTGTGTATAGAGAAAGATACCAACGTTTATCATTAGAAAGTTGGGTCCAATTGGGAAATCCGTGAGTGATAGCCGTGACTTGACCGTCAGAAGTACAACGAAGTTCTTTATGAAGTTCTTTAATACAAGTTCATGTCCGAGGGCTAATTGCAAATGAATACAGAAGGTATTGAAGAATGGTATAAAACCATGTGCTACGTTCTACTAATCTAACTTTCTATCTCTGCTTAAAACTAATAACCTACGTATATGTGACAAAGAGAGGATATGTAATACATAAACAAGTAAGAGAAACATGGCAACTACTTTTCTACTTCTAGTTAAGCTATTAGGGGGTTGACTTCTTCTCTGATTTTGGAAAAAAACAATACATTTTGTTGCCCTCTGACAGTGGTCAACATTCCGAAAATTGGCAAAGGTGTCTGTTGCCATGCAGGAATGTGTGTGGCAGATAAATACGAAGAGAGGAGACAGGACAAGGCTCTGATTTAATGTTTTGTCTTTTTTTAAACCTGATTATTACATTTATGTAGTTAGTATTTGTAAAAGACGGTAAAAGACGAGTTAAGAGAAAAAGTGGTGCTAATGCGTAGTTTGTACTTTTAGCCCAATAAATTATCATATATTAGTGAAAAATGAGTTAACACCCCTCTAACTAAATTTTTTCACTATTAAAAATGAGTTAGAGGGGTGTTAACTCATTTTTTTCACTAGAAAGAGGTTCTATGAAATCTCTTATTAGTGCAAAAATGAGTTAGAAGGGTGTTAACTCATTTTTCACTAAGAGGTTCACTAGTAAAAGGTTGTATAAAGATCTCTTATTAGTGAAAAAATTATTTGTTAACACATGTAAAGGTGCTTAGCACGTGTATGGAATGAAATAATGATCTGAACTAAAAAATGAGATAAATAGATAGTTGTTGTCTTTGTACTTTGATGCAGTGATATATTTCATTCCTTTTATATGTAATGGTGGCTGTGTATACATATGTGATGTTTCCACTGAATCGAAACCACATGATTTGTATAATGACTGAAAACTTTTATTTTTCAAACTTGTTTCAATGATGAATGGATGTTGTAATAGTTGGTAGTAAACTTAGCACAATATAAGCATAAAGTATTGTTTAACAAGGTTTATGAAGTCAAAATGTGAAAATGTAGGAATGTTGTTTTTTGCCGGCCCGCATTCTTTTTTTTCGCAATATCGCATTAGATTTGGAGTTTGCGGAGGAATTCATCCACAAAATTTACTTGCTGTGGCCTAAACGAAATACTACATAGACAGCAACTAGCCACGAAATAGTCACGAAGGATGAGGCAGGGAGAACACGACTGAGCTGAGTTAAATCGCACCAAACAAGCCCGTAGCCAGGATTTTGAAGGGGGGGGGGTTCTTCCCACTGCTAGAGGGGACCTCGAGCGGGCAATTTTGAAAAATGAACCTTCTAAAATGGCATTTCGTGCGTTTTTGAGAGGATTTCCAAGAAAAAAAAATCAGAGATAAATTTTTAATCAATGACAAAGGGAGCAGTTTTTCTACGATTCCAGTCCATCTTTTCAAGAAAAACCTGGGACCTTTACATAAAAAGTGGACCAAAAAGTGGACCTTTGAGCCTTGTTGGGGGGTTCTTCCGAATCCCCGAACCCCCCCCCACCCCCCCCCCCCTGGCTACGGGCATGCCATATTTTGTCAAAACAGCAATGTCTATCAGAGACAGGACAATTACCGTGTGACGGACTCTTTGAGATTTCTAAACGCTCGGCACGTTTTACTTTTGCGCAAGGTACAATAGGGTTGTATAAAGATCTCTTATTAGTGAAAAAACTATTTGTTAACACAGGTAAAGGTTAACAAAACAGGTTTGTGGGGTCGTGTGGCGTAGCGGCAGAGTGCGCGACTCGGAACTAAGAGTCCCGGGTTCGAGTCCTGACATGCCACCGATCTTGTGTCCTTGGGAAAGGCACTTTACACGACTTTCCTTACTTCACTCAGGTGTAAATGAGTATTGTCCTGTCATGTATTTGTCCCCTGTGTTGGTGGCAGCATAATATAAGTTGAAAAAAAACTTGAGTGTGTCGTAACCACGTCTGGTGATTACATGTTGGAATAAAAAAAAGGTACAATAGGGTTGAGAGTATCGTAACGAAGGTGGGAACTGAAGGGAGTCCGTAATGTAGAGGGGTAAAACAATGTGTGTGAATGCCCATGGAAAGCGCAATGCACAAGACTATATTAAATGCACAGAACGTCACCGTCGAAAACAAAATTATGCACTGTGCATATGGAAAGAATGGTTGAAGGCTATAGTAGAAAAATTACTGCTAGTAAATATATATATAATGAGCAAATGAAATAGATGCGCAAGCAATGCTGCTCTATTTTTGGGACATTGAAAAAATTTGTCTTCACTTATTTGCATATCAATCAATTGTTCGTACTTATAAACCTGCATTTCTGACAACTCTCCAGTGTCACTGACGAAAGCTAAAGGTAGTGGATGCTTCTGAAACGTCTGACCGCTTCCAAAATCGTATCCAGTTGCTTGAGTATTTAACTTTTTTGGCGTATCTTATTACCTGGATGTCTAACCTTCACCGACTATTCTTTTATTCCTCCTGTCAATTGCATCATTCCGTCATGCTTTTAAAAAGAAGCACAAAAACTTGATTAAAGTCTTGACATGAAGCATAGTCACCAACTATGATTATGTCGCATTTTCGGACATTGTGTGCTTGCATATAGCTACTTGTTGAGCGCTTGTCCATTTTGCGTGTGCCTTTTTCTGTTCGACAAAATTTGAAATGACGATGGTATATATGAAACCTTCGGCATATCAAACAACAGCCTAAGGCCACACCGGCTTAATTTTATAGATGACATACTCTGAAGGCCCCCAAACTAGTGCGCGCGAGCGAATAAAAAAATCCGGCCAAAAATAAAAATGCTACTAAACCACAGGAATACAAAGCTGGTATTGTGAATTTGCGGCAGTACTTAGAGACGTATACGACAAGCCGGCACATGCTGCCTTTTGCGGAATTTGTAAATCGGCACTGTACGTATGTACTGAGTTCTTGAGTGGTGGGACTTCAATAGCCTGGGTGCCATCCTCCAAAGTTACAACCGGCTCCGTATTGTCGCTTACCACCATGGACTACCCAGGCCAGAACCTCGGAGGACGTTTTTTTTTTTTTGAGAACAGGCGAAAATCAATGCGCGCGCGGATGTCATCCATAAAATTAAGTCGGTGTGGCCTAATAAAGTCAGACGATATCAGTAGTGATTTGAGCAAACTACTACGTTCTATATGGCTGTTTGAACAAGCGCACGTGAGACCTTTACCATAATTTCTCTTCCGGTGACGCCAGAGTGAATGGTACATATCGGGCTACTTAGCCTCCATCGTGGTGAATAGCTACTGTTTGAGGTAGCAATCAAATCATGCTGGTGAAATTGATTGATACGTCAAATTACAACGTTATCTGCGCCTGTCTTTAACTCCGGAATGTTATCACCCGACCAGAGGACCGGACTCATGATGCGAGTGTTTTCCCAAGTGCCCAGAATGAATGCGCACAAGATAAGACGTTGTTTCCTTTGATAAGCTGGCGAAGTGGAGGTGTTTAACGTCTCCGGCCGCCAGAGATAAAATACCGCACGTGCGTAAGGGTCTCCCCGGCAACACATCATCATAAGCTCTTTCAGCGATTGTCGATGGAAGTGACGAGATGAGTCGATTGTTGGCGGGTCGCCCCCACTACATTGTACCCGAGCCCATTGAATGTGTCAGAAAAGGAGAGCTTAACGCCCCGACCTAGACTTTGAATGGTCTTTTCGTAACAGTTGCTAACAACAGGTGGTAAACAGTGGCAACCGCAAAGCCTTGTGGTGATTGACACGTTTATAACCTAGCTACGATGGGAGGCAATGGAAGAAAGGCGTTTGCGTCATGGCTGAATGGGTGAAATGGTTTGACTTGTGGATATTTAGTTTTCTTACAATGGCGTGTACATGAACTCTACTAGTCACAGCCAGCCGACGCTAGTTCTACCATGTACAGAACTTAGGCCATGTTGATTTGATTATATGGATGACATCCGCGCGCGCATGAATTTTCGGCCGTTTCCAAAAAAAAAAGTTTTCAACCATACTGTAAATCGTACAAAACAGTTGCAAAATGAGCAAAAATATACCATAAGTTACAAAAAAAAAATAATAAAAACTATACCAATGTCGTAGAATGCCAAAATCAAACAAAAAAAGACGAAATTGTAAAGAAATGAATTTGAAGACTAGATTATTCGCCAAACCATATTCTGTGCCATTTGCTCAACCCTCATGACCACGTAGATTACATAATGAAAAGAACTTTTTTTTGCAAAACTTTTTTTTATTCGCACGCGCGCATCAGTTTTGGGGCTCCCGGAGGATGTCATCCATATAATCAAATCAACATGGCCTTACGTTACATAAAGGTGTACATATATTCATATTATGTTACATTATTTTACATTGCATTAGCTTGTGGATTATTTTTTGAGAAACAATGTACCAAGGAATAAAAGTCGTCTAACGAACGACTGATTAGACGTTTTCATAACGATGAATTAAAGTGAGCTTTGCTTTTAGATGTGTTGTTGTAAAATATGGCAAAGAAATTTGATAACTATCATATTCGAGCGGCAGATTGCTTATGTTTCAGTGTTTAAGATTGCAAAAATATCTATTCATGAAGACAAGGTAGAGAGACTCTTTTTGTCCTAGGAAAACTTACAAATTGGGCGGAAAAATATGTGGGCCGTTTTGTTAATTCTAGAGTGGATTGTTGTGCCCAAACGATAGCTTCATTGCCAGAACAGTTACTTATGCAACTGGATATGATTTTGGAAATGTCCTAAACCCCACCGACGATAGCTTGATTGTGTAAGATTTTAAGTTAATTAACCAAACTATGGCATGATTGCACATCTATCGGATATACCAGCCGGTGTGCAGAGTTGAACGCGCAAATACAATTCGACAAGGCACGACGGAATGGCTTTTCTTGAAGTCATTTTCACTGATTTACTTCATTAAATATCCGTGAGACCTTCACAACCAGGTGATGATGTAAAATTATCACTTTCGCAATATGTAAGAAACTTTTGAAGTGCTAAAAGAACAACACACACTTTACTGTAACTCCCATCTGTTGAACATATTACGACGTTGCGACAAACAAGACTGGATACATTGCCGTTTTCTTTGTGTTTCTTTCATCGAAAAACGCCTCGAATAAATGCAGACACTCTACTTTGCCCACATTAAAGCACATACTTGCTATCAAAGATTATCAAAAAGTTGGGCCGCTGTACTATCTTTTTCTGAATTAAATGGAAGATGACAAACGTACATAGCACTGACGGGCGAATGTGATTTGTGAAGATTCACAAAATCAAAAACAATAACCATTATCGTGTTTTAGAAATAAGTTTTATTGCAAATTCATGCCCGGAACGAATTGCATGAACAGGAGAAACATTTGGTATAAAAACAGATATAATTAGTACACATAGAACTACTGATAGCTACTAAGAAACTACTAATAAAAACTAGGTTTGACTTGTTTTTTGAAGACAGAGGAAGACAAAGGATCCCACTTTTTCTGTAATTTGTGTTTTTTCGGATGTTGAGAGTAGTTTTCTTTTCACTTGTATATGTGTAAAAGTTTGGGTATAATTTGGAGGCTACGTCAAAGATTTCATTTCGTTCATTGCTATAGAGGGTACAATAATTTGAGATAAAATTGATTTAAGCTTTAGATGAGATAAAGTTTTAGATGAGCTACAAGAGTCAGTGACCCTAAGTTCAGAAGCAGACGTACTCGTACACGCAATAGCCGGATCAGCCAATGTTCACGTGGGCGTCTCACAGTTACCAGACAACTCCGGATTTCTTTGCAGACCCCTTCACACAAATGTGCTTTTAATCCATTGAGAAGAACAAATCGGGTCATTGCATGATGGTTATGTTGACAAATGTGTTCCACTCTTTTCTTCCCCAATCTAAGGAATTCACACTCCGGAAAAGGGAGTGTCAAAGCTCAAGCGATTAACGAGAAGAAGTGACGCAAATACTCACGGATCGCGGCCCTTCTGGAGTTCTGCAGCCTGCAAAATCAAACAGAACTTTTTTTTTATTCACCAAAACATAAAGACATGACAAGGACAGTGTGGCGCTGCACTCAAGTTAACAACTTATATTAACAGCGCCACACAACAAAACGGTACAATTAACATTTAAATATACAAAGTTGACATATCTGTGCGCCGTAGTCCCACCACCCCAAGACATTAAAATGTTAAATTAAAAGCTAACAGAGATATTTGAAAGAAAAGATTGCATGGTAACCTCCTATATCTCATTGGCGGAAAAACATCCGCCAATCAGAGCTAGGAGGGGAAATTTAGGCCCGTTAACACTTACGTAGTATTTGGACTTCTATATCTAATTGACTGTTAGAAACAGTCAAGCAGAGCTAGAAGCGCTTGGTATCTCCAATGTAAACCTGAGTGAACAGAACTTGGCGTCAACTTTTGCGAAGAGATATTATATTACCGGTGAACTTGTGGAATAGATGGAACTTTATTGCCCGACAATTGTGCATGGTACAGTGTATGGCAACGACTATTGAACATAGTACAGAAAGGATAGAATAAAATTTAACATCCTAGTTACTAAAACATAGATACAGGCGCGATTAAAATTCGTTTTAACATTTTAATTTTTGCCGTTCAGGGTTAGTCTTGATCTTGCGCCAAATGCTGAACGAGGAATCATTTTTGGACTATGGTTCTGAGTACAAAAACTTGATTTTAAACTTAACAAGCTATACAGAAGTTATGCACAGCTAAAACGAATTGAATGCTTTAGCATACCAACCCAAAGAAAATCCTATTAAGTTCTGTGCGAACGTTATGCACAACTTAAAACGAGTTGAATACTTCAATGCATACATTTACACCAAGTTCCATAAAAAAAAACACACACAAAAAACGAATTTTCCATGAATTGTTGACAAAAGTCTAATCTTTCTCAGGGAAGTTGATGTAACTTGATGTTCCAAAGTATTTAACGTTTTCAGTGCATCATTTTATAGCTTGTGCCATCATGGAGAATCTTTCATTCCATCTTAAAAGTACACTGTATTTTCTAGTTGTTTTGAAATAAGCTGCGAGCGAAATGTGACGCGGAAAGTTTCATTTTACCCACCTGCCCTCAATGCGGGCCGCCGTGAAGAGAGTCAGAACAACAAGTTTCGTGATCCACCCCATCTTCGCCGATCGGTTTCACGCCTTTTCTGAAGAACTTTCCCGATCGTTAAGAGGGGAACCTTCTCAGTCTGGGAATCGATCCCGGGACGATCGGTTCCTCCAGTGCCTGGTGGAGGCGATTATCGGCCTTATTTATACCCCCTGGCTGTCAATTAACGATGGAAACAGTAGAGAAAGGCGTGCTTTTGTGACCCAATTTGTGTACAAAAAAGTACCCAGGATCGTTGTCATGGCATTCGGGACAAGGAAACGTCCAATCAGGAGCAGCCACGTCATAGTGACGTATGACGTGACGTTTGTGTAATGGTATCCCGGTATAACAAAACTACTTTTAATGAGGAATATTTGCACACGGCTTAGGTAATGACAAGTCGGCATTTGTAATTACAAAATGAACAACATGGTCAAAAAACGGAGAAAAGGAGACCCTTGCCTTGCTCTATTTTGATTTTAGAGGGTTCACAATTCGGCTGAAAGAAACTCACAATTTGAGTTTCAATAAAATAGAATAAATCATATCCAGTTGATGCGTGCACACAGAAGTGGTTGACAAACCATGTTGTAAATATATATAATCATAGTTTCAATTTATCGACGATGCTCGTATGTTTATTTGATGATTTTGAAGTCCATGTTGATATGATTATATTTTTGACCGTAACGTCAGTTCTTCAAAGCCGCTTCAATATGACATATGTCGTAAATGGAAAAAAAATTAGAAAACGATACTAATGTCGTAGAGTGCCAAAAGCTATTCTAGAGGAAAGTAGAAAATGTGAAAAAATGAACATGTAGAGTCTATCACTCGCCATACCATACTGTGTCACATTTGTTCAACCGTCATGACCATTTCATAATGAATGCAACTTTTTTTGCCCAAGCTTTTTTTTTATTCGTATTCGCTCGCTCGCATCAGTTTGTGGGTTCCCATAAGATGACATCCATATAATCAGATCAACATGGCCTAAGATGCAAAACGAATTGTACATTCCTGCCGGCCTCAGCAGACAGCATGGCACGCGCGTAAAACCAACTCTTCCCCGGCTTGAGTCAGAGACAAACCCGCTGATTCAGTAGCCGTACTCCCGTCTCCAGTGTTCCCGCGGTTTTGCCCCGCCCTCCAAATCAAATCTCCGCCGCTTTCTCAATGATTACGGACCAGGTGATAAGACTGGGCACTTGTGGTGACCTTCTGTCAATATTAGCCAGAAACACGGTGTCAGAAACCTGACAAACGATACACACGGTCGTGCTTTCTATTACTTCCGAACCCTCAGTGACTGCTATTAATATATGAGGGTAAATAAGAATTCAATTGTTGCGCCCTCGGCACAGGTAACCGTTGGCAAATACGCGAGACTGCGGGGGGAAGGAAAGATCTGAAGTGTGATGTATGAAAACGTGGTCAAATCCACGTTACACCCACATGTCGCCTTGTCGCCGTGGTTAGAACTACCTTATCACTGACTCGCCATTGTGGCTACACCGCCTCCCCCCGTTGCTCCTCTTGAGTTGCTTAGCAATTGCTCTCAACTTAGACCGCTCGATTTTTTTCTCGTACCCAGAAGAATGGAACTTATCTGGAAGTTTATTCAAGACCCATGATGAATGATTCCGATAGAAAAGACGCCTTTGTGCCGAGGAGATGTCGCGAGATTGCAAAACCATTCATTTCTTACCAGACAAACATTTTGTCGTCTTCAGACGTATTTATCACATTTCCTTTGTCCGTAGGGGGGCTTCTAAGGGCTTACTGTTGAGGTTAATTACTTCTGTGTACATTCCGTGTAGCTAGATATATCTGCTACCGCGAGACATACATCGAGATTGATGTAAACCTTCACAATAACGGTGCTTTAAGTATCGGTAACGGAGAGCTGAGAATAAAAGGGTTCAGAAAATCTTCAGTCTAACTATTAACTTCCCACTACCTTCACCTTTGGAAAGAAAAACAACAACAACAAGTAGATGTAATTACTGAAACCCCTTCACACGAGAGGTGGAATAAGGCACAAAAACGTCTGAAGGAGAATTCCTTGCGTATTCCTGAGATATTTTTTGTATTCGGAAAGTTTTGAGGGTATTCCAGGCACTCGAGGGAGAACTGAAATGGGCCCGAATATTTGAGATAAACTTCAAATTTTAAGAAAACACTTCGAAAAGTCAAAAATAGTCAGGAATATGAAGAACTTTATTTCACGACAATTGCACAAGGTACAATGTATGGCAAACTACATAAAGAGAGTAACAACAATAAAATAAGTGTGTTGAATAAGACCTAATGTCGAATAAAACCTAACATATCTATATCATAATCATTCAAATAATAAGGGATATCACAAGTCGTTGATAAAGTGTTACAATCGAGTGGGCTAATCACAAGTTTCGTTATTTTTTCTAATAGCAAAGCATTCCTTTATATATCTACCTATTTTTGCGTTGTGGGGACCATTACATGTAAAGATATATTCAAATCTATCTCCAACATCGAGACTCTTAAAATCTATGGTACTTGATTCGAGAAATGTGAATAGCTTGTTACGTACATGTATAACATCATATTTGGTACATTCCATAACAAAATGAAATTCATTTTCTATATGCTTTGGACAAAATGGACAGAACCTTTGGTCAGGGGCTATATTGTAATATCTACCTGTTTCAATATTTAATTTATGGCTACTGATTCTTAATTGAGTTATTGCTTTACGAATTTCAAAGTGTATGGGTTTGGCGCAGTGATTCCTCTTTATGGCTCACTTTATCATTAATACACACGATAGTACTTAACACAGAGAAATACTTCCTGTACTAATCGACACGGGACGCCTGACATGACCGAGGCTGGGCGACGTCACCCGGGTGATGGGATTCAGCAGACTGCCGTTGGATTGGCCGGTGCGCCGCGATTACCATTATTACTTCAAATATAGCTGGTTTGTTTGTTTCGCATAACCGGTAAAGCGCCTTCAGGCGGTAACACACCAGTTTTGTACATGTGCGGACTAGCTACGTAAGACCGGACTGTGAACATGGAGTTAAATATTTCAACTCCATCGTTTGAACCACTCACACCGGGAAGGTCCCCTACTCTTTTCGATAAGTGCGGTGGGTTCTTTAACGTAAAGAGAGTGGGTGTGGCTCCCCCCCCCCCAAACGGGACCTCAATTTAACGTCCTATCCGGTCCCTAACCGAAGCTAGGTACTCATTTCCACCTGAGCGAAGTGAGGAAAGTCGTGTAAAGTGCCTTTCCCAAGGCACAAGATCGGTGACATGGGCAGGATTCGAACCCGCGACCTCTTGGGCGTGAGCCGAACGCGCTACCGACTACGTAACACGACCCCATGTTGGTGGGGGTCAGGACAAAAAAACGACCATAGATAAAAATGTAACGATCATTCCCCCACAACCTCTGCTTGGAGAGTACCCATATCTACAAGGCGATAACAACAGTAACAGTCACAGTGAGAGTGTGTTTCTGTTGAACATTGGAGACAAAGTTGGACGTCCCAAACTGAACATCAAACGTGATCGGTGCTGTACTCTCGTGATCAGCCCCACTCGATTGTAACACTATATCAAAGATAAACTTTTTTTTTTTAAATTCGGAATCACAACGATGGTTACGAATGAAAAGACATGGACTAAGTGACTGCGAACTCAAGTTAGGTACAACTTATATTCTCGCAGCCACTTTTACAATGAAAGGAAAATATTTTACAAGACATTTGAAAATACATGAGACCTCGCGTGAGTAACAAACCTCCCATCCCAGAAGATAATTTTTTTTATTTGAGTAATCATGATTTATTAGGTTTTATTCTATTTTAGCTCTTATTCTTTGTCCTTTTGTACTTTGTTCATTAGTTATACATTGAGCCATGTGCAACTGTCGTGCAAAAAAGTTCTTCTATCGTAGTTAGACTACTTAGGTGAGTCCGAGTCTTTAGAGGCTCTTTAGACTCTCTGGTGGAAAAACAAACAAGGCTGAGGCAATAAAAAACCTTGCCAAGGCGACTGAATAATATATATTATTTGATGTGGTGGAGCTAGCAATCTACATTACAATTATAAGAAAAACAGATTTCCCTATCTTATGGACATGCACGTCTCGGTTGGGTTAAGGCAGCCTATGGCATACTATGAATAGTATTTCATACATATGCCTGTAACTTTTGATAGTTTGGTCGCACCACAACTAAACTTCATACAGTTCTAGTAGTACTTGAAACACATTGAATAAAGTTTTTTTTTTGTTTTTACTACTTCTGGATTTTTGGGTTAAAAATCAACATTTTGGTTAAAAAAAGCTGTTTACTTCATGGCTTTACGCGCAAGCGATAACAACACCTTTCATCATGATATTTTACAAGTAGAAAGCCAACCCCCTACTTATTATTTTTTTCTGAGGCTATTTTGTTTTAAATGACAGTTACATTGTATTTTGGGGCCATAAACGACAGAAACAGCTATTTTTCTATCATTTTTAGTCTTTAAAGGCTCTTTAGACTCTCTGGTGGCAAAACAAAAAATATTCTCGATGAGGAAATCTGTCTGTATTAAGCACATTTTCGTCATCATTTCATACCTGCAGTGTTTAAAATATTTAAAAAAAGCAACGGCAGGTGTCTCTTTACTTTTGGGGTACCATCCATAAATAGCTAGAACCAGCCTACGATACAAAACAAACAACCGTTTTCCGTCAGTGACATCACATTTTCGCCTCACAGATATCAGTATGGTATGATTCAACTTACTACATTTACTACAAGATAATGAACCTTGTAAATATCTGGGTTGTACTCCTACTGTACTGTTTTTATAGTTGTTGTAAATATATAATATTTTGACATTTTATCTTGTGTAAATATCAACGCCATTCAGGCAACATTGTTTGTCATGTTTGTCTGTTATGTTTGGTATCTTAATAAAGAATTGAATTGAAGAATTGAACTAAAGATTAAGAATATCCAGAAAATTGACTTTAAAATCCAGTTTTGTCGCCTTGAAATTTTTTGCATCATAAAAGGCCGTGTTTATGTGAAGTCATCGAAACCGCGATTCGGGTAACTCACACTCCTCACATCTGGTCAACGTGCCATTCATTCCTTTGAAACCGTGCCCGATCACAATTAGCCTGAGCTACATTTATTGTTGTTTGATGAAAACACGCAAGGTAGCGTGTTATTAATGTCAGAGGTCAACGACCTGCTTGCTGATGCCCCCCTCCCAGCGTATCTCGGCCGAATGCCGACGTGGTCCCGCCAGAGGCGGTGAAGCTCGCCCTAGATCGGACACATTATTTGACCATTACTGCTCTTTAAGTTGCTGCCACGTAAAATCGCAGAGGCAAATCGCGATGCGGGAAAACCGATTCGAAACCACCTCTAGAAGTGGTTTGGGATCGAGGCGCTTTCAATGTGATTTGGGGCGTTCAGATGGAGCCACTTGAAACTGGCTTCGGGGGAAACCACATGTAAAGCGCCTTGGGTGACTTCACATGAACACGGCCTTTATCTTGATCTGACTCTTTAGTACATTCAAGTTGCAGCACCAGGTGCTGACAGAACACCTGAATACACGTCCGAACATCAATTTTTTCACGGGATCATTAGCAAGTAATGCTGTAGGTTCGGTAATTAGAACCCGATGGTTATCTTTCACTGACAAACCGTTATACAACCTGTTGATGTCAACATGCTCAATTAGAGCGTCCATGAAAGATAACCGCAACAATATGTTGTTTAATTTCTTCCACTCTTCGCTCACAAGTCATGCCTAGGCCACACCGACTTAATTTGATGGATGACATCCGCGCGCGCATTGATTTTCGCCTGTTGCCCTCGAAAAAAAAGATCACGTCCACCGAGGCTCTGGCCTGGCTCTAGGCCTGGCTAGTCTATGGTAGTTAGCGACAATACGGAGCCGGGCACCCAGGCTATCGAATTCGAAGCTCCACGACTCAAGAACTCGGTACATACGTACAGTACCGATTCATAAATTCCGCAAAAAAAAACGTCGTATACGTCGCTAAGAACTGCCGCGAATTCACAATACCAGCTTTGTATTCCTGTGGTTTAGTAGCATTTTCATTTTTGGCCGGAACTTTTTTTATTCGCCTGCGCGCACTAGTTTGGGGGTCTTCAGGGGATGTCATCCATAAAATTAAGTCGGTGTGGCCTTAGTAGCCTAGGGACAGTAACGCGGACGCCAGCACACCTCGTTTCCACTGTTGAAGCGCCGCCTACCGATTCATCACGTAAACAGCATGTGAAGAATTGACCCATTGTCACCCACACAAGCCAAACTGCGCTATGAGTCCAGAGTTCATGATAAAGAAAAAATACGTCAACATGTTTTGACACGTAGTTGTAGTTGTACTGCTTTATCGCAGTTTCTGAAGACGTTTACTGTGGAAGTTGAAGATGTACGTTCGGTCTCTCCTGTTCCTGGTCCTGTGTCTGGCAGGGGCGAACAGCCACCTGCTCAAGTTCGAGGATTGTGGTGAGTTGGAAGATGGTTTCTCGATTTTGCATCTCTGCCAGAAGAATATCATTTTTACCAACACCATGTAGACTTAAACAACAAACGCTTTGCTGTCGTCATTATCTGTGAATGATATATAGAGATACAGCTTTATTGCACGACGATTGTACAATGTAGGGTAACAGATAATAAACATTTGTACAAAATGTACTAGGTACATGTATAGAACAATACTTGTTAATTACTAGGGCTAGCATAATATACAATCTAATTACTAGGGCTAGTATAATATACAATCGAGAGGGGCTAATCATGAGTTTCTGTATTTTTTCTGATAACAAAACAGTCTTTAATATATTTACCTATTTTTACCTTCGCCAAGAAGGTTATGTTTTCAGTAGCGTTTGTCTGTGTGTGTGTGTGTGTGTTTGTGTGTGTGTGTGTGTGTGTGTGTGTGTGTGGTTTAGCACGATAACTCGAGAAGCGGTGGATGGATTGGAATGAAACTTGGTAGGTGGGTAGGTCTTTATGAGACCTAGAAGTGATTAGATTTTGGACCCCCTGGCGGCTTTCCTAGGTACTGCAGCAGAACTTCCGGTTTTGATATCTCGTGATCTGGACATGCTAGGGTCACGAATTTTAGATGGCAGATAGCTCTTGGGATAGAGAAGAAGTGACATGAGTTTGGGTCCCCTAGCGTCTTGTTCTGGAACTGCAGGAGCATTTGTTGAAAAATTCGAAAGACGATAACTCAAGAACCGGTTGACGTATTGTCGTGATTTTTGGTATGTAGGTAGTTGAAGTGATGCTTGACATAATCAGATGGCAATTATGCAAATCAGGACTTAATTGGCATAATTAATGAGGAAATTCTATAAATCTGCTTTGTTCAATAATAGAACTATGAAACACTTGTGACATCTACTTGAGAACGAGAAAAACATCTGAGGATGTAAATGAGGACCTAATTTGCATAATTAATGGCAACTTCTTATAATTCCATAGTTGTAACTGCTGCACCCCGAATTTCATACTTGCCACATTTGGAAGTTAAGTGAAGGTGAACATCAATAAACATAATTTATTCAAATCATGACCTCGTTTGCATAATTTATGAGGAAGTGCTATAATAGCCTTTTTGTTATGATAAGGCCGTCATTTGATGGAGAATATGATCAACTAATATAATCCATGCAAATGAGGCTCTTATTTACAAAATCAATGATTAAAATTGTATAATTCGTCACCCGCAAGGGTTAACATCATTTGGCGAAGGTATGAGATCGTGGAACTCTTGTTGCATTGTGTGAGTTATTGCAGCTAAAGATATCTTCAAGCCTGTCTGTAATATCAAGTACATGTATTTTGTGCTTGATTTGAGAAATGTAAATAGCTTGCTACTTAAAACATCATATCTAGAGCATTCTATGACAAAGTGAAGCTTGTCTTCAATTTGCTTTGGACAAAATGGGCAAAACCTTTTGGTCAGGGGCTACACTGTTGAACATGTATTTGCCAAAACGTTTGAATATAACGTTGTTTCCAGGTTCTGTGAAGGGAAAAGTTATTCAGGTGGACTTTGTGCCATGCGGATACCTCAATATTGAGTTCCAGATGTGTGAGTACATTTCATATTCCTCAGATCAGTTGTCGAACTTATTCTTTGTCTTCGCTGTCCTGATACATATACGGCACAAATACGCGGACGGCTTATATGTTACAATGACATTGACGCTTTGAGTTTTACGATGAAGTTCATACTTAAGTTCAATACAGTGAAATCGTTGCAGAAGTTTCTCTTTGAGTCTTATTCAATGTACATTAAATATGTAAAATAAAACTCCCGATATTTTGCTACTAAATCCAAAGGTCGAAAGTCCTCTTTCTATAATCTATCCTTAGGCCACAGCGCGCGCATTAATTTTCGCCTGATTTTGGGGGGAAAAAAAGGAAATTTTGTTGCCTTCTGGCGATGGTCAACAAGCCGAAAATGGGTAAAGATGTCTGTTGCCATGCCGGAAGGTGGATGGCAGCTAACTATGAAGAGAGGAGACAGGAAAAGGCTCTGATTTAATGTTTTGTTTCTTACTTTGATGCAGTGATATGTGACGCTGGCTGTGTATGTGATGCTCCTACTGAATCAAAACCATTTGTACAATGATTGAGTCAAAATTTTAAATTGTAGGAACCTTGTTTTTGTTGGCCCGCCTTGTTTTTTCCGCCCGCCCGCATTAGATTTAGAACCTGCAGAGGATGTCATCCATAAAATTTACTTGCTGTGGCCTTCCAGTTGAGACTGTTCAGAACGCCACCATACTCATGAACCAGATCGTGGACGGCAAACCTGGGCCAGCTCCACTTCCGTACATCTACGCCTGTAACCAGTGGGACTTCTACGGGCTGAGGTGTCCTCTTCACACCGGGAAACGCTACAACTTTAGTCTGGACCTGGCCCAGGAAGAGCCTGAGGTATTTCGTTTAAGGCCCTGTCATTCAGAGCCTCCCTCCGAACACCAGCCGACCAAGGTTGGATTAAGTTCGGGAGCAGCCTGACCATTTTTAGATCGAGCCCATGCCCGTAGCCAGGGGTTCGGAACCCCCCCACAAGGTTAAAAGGTCCACTTTTTATGTAAAGGTCCACTTTTTGGTCCACTTTTTATGTAAAGGTCCAAGGTTTTTCTTGAAAAGATGGACTGGATTCGTAGAAAAACTGCTCCCTTTGTCATTGAATAAAAATTTATGTCTGATTTTTTCTCGGAAATCCTCTCAAAAATGCACGAAATGCCATTTTAGAAGGTTCCTTTTTTTCAAAATTTCCCGGGGGAGCATGCCCGGACCCCCCTAGGAACCTCGCGCCTTCGGCGAGGTCCCCTCAAGCAGTGGGTAGAACCCCACATTCAAAATCCTGGCTACGGGCATGGAGCCTACCTTTTTCACGACTCCAATTTGAGTGAAATTTGACTGCCAACCACGCCCCGACCTTCTGCCAAACATCAGCCAACCATAGCCAAATCTCCCGTCAACCCCTGAATGTTTTAACATTTTGAAACATTGGCTGACACAGCCGAACAGTAGCCGACCTGGTCGAACACCTGCCGACCTTGCTCCCGACCTACTCCTAACCATGTTTGGGAGAGTTCGGCTGGTGTTCGGGAGACGGATTATTATCTTCACCAAGAAGATTATGTTTTCAGGGGTGTTCATGTGTGTGTGTGTCTGTGTGTCTGTAGACACGATAACTTGAGAAGGCTTAATGGATTTTGATATTTGGTAGGTGGGTAGGTCTTGATGAGAGCTCGAAATGATTTGATTTTGGGCCTCCTGGCGGCCTCTTATGGTACTGCAAAGGTTTTGATATCTCATGATCTAGACAAGCTAGGGTCCCGCAATTTAGATGGTAGATAGCTCTTGTGCTGGGGAAGAAGTGACTTGAGTTCGGGACTCCTAGCGGCTTGTCCTGGAACTACAGGGGCATTTGTGGAAAAATATTGAAAGGTGGATAACTAAAAAACCCGTCTATGGATCGTCGCCATGTTTGGTAGGTAGGTAGCTTAAGTGATGCTTGACATAACTAGATGACAATGTTGCATATCTGGTTGTAATTTGCATAATTAATGAGGAAATTAATGAGGAAATTCTATAAATCAGCTGCATTCCATGGTAGGACTAGTCAAGCTCGTTGCACATGTAATTGAGAAAGAGAGAAACATAGGCAGATATTGGTTATGTAAATAAGACTAAATTTGCATAATTATCATTAAATTATCATGAAACATAATATATTCAAATAAGGACCTCACTTGCATAATTTATGAGGAAATGCTAGAATGTCATTCTTTCTTAAGATAAAAATGTCTTTGGGTGAATATGATCACCTGATAAAATTAATGCAGATGAGGATCCTATTTGCTTAATCGGGGGAATAATCTATAATTCGTACATAGTACTAAAGGTTAAGGTCATTTGGCGAAGGTATGAGATCGTGGAACTCTATTGATCTTGATGAAGTGGTGCCACTCTGTTTATATTCTAATGAAAAATCTGTCCTTTTTAATCATATCAAAGAGAAATTCCCATACTTTGAACACCTAAGTGCAAATGATAAATTTATATTTTTGATGCGTCTAGACAAACCGTGTATCACAAACATGATCTGTTCCCACATTTTTCACTGTCCAAAAAAGCAAGAAGAAGCTGACCTCTCTATATTAGCTCAGACAGTGACTAGAACACTTTGTATTAGCCTAGTATAGTACCCTTGTATGTTCCTTATGTATGTATGTCTAAGTCAAGTAGTGCATCTCTTGTCTCCAATTTTCTATATTATACATTTGTTATGTGTCTGTTATATGTTATATCTTGACCTGTACCTAGCCCGTCGTGGCATGAATGTAGCCTCTACCAGGCACCGTGGATCGCTGGAAAAATAGTAGAAATTGGTCGAAATAAAGGGATGGTATACCAGAGAAGATCCAGGGCCATAGAAGCTCCAATTTGCGACCCACGGATTGGAGCTTCTATGGCCCTGGATCTTCTCTGGTGTACTATCCCTTTATTTTGGCCAATTTCTACTATTTTTTCAACGATCTGTGGTGCCTGGTAGAGGCTAATTCAAGCATACCTTAAACAATGTGTAAAGGTTCCATTTTTCTTTTACATGTACTTTTATACGCATGATTTAAGATGTACAGTAAAAATAGGATTTTGTGCCGTGTTGGTTGTATAAAAAGTCTCTTTTAAATTTATTTAGTGACTGACCATCCTGATTAAACAATTCACGAACAGCCTCAGGTACATGTTTATCGTACCTGGAAACAATGTAAACAGGTGTTGTAGTACCTGACATCTGCATGAGATACACCCTCCCAGCATTGGCACATCCTCCCACGATGAAGACGACCACCAGTATCTTACAGATCCACTTCCAGATTGTCCATGACGTTGCCCT